TTGACAAGGGGCAGTAGCAGTGGGAATGGAAAGGCACAGAACCATATTAGTTACCTTAAACATACAAACAAAAAGACGGAATCAATTATACACAGAACAAACTGGGAGAGGTTTGGGGGATGGGCAGAATAGATAAAAGGATTAAGAGGTACAAGCTTCCAGTTACAAAAAAGTCACAGGGCAGAAAAGTACAGCATAGGGAATATAGTCAATATATTTTAATAACATTGTATGATGACACATGGTGACCACATTTATGGTAGTGAGCACTGTGTAATGTATAGAATTGTTGAATCATTATGTTGTTCACCTGAAACTAATATACATTTATGTCAACTACACTTCAATTAAAAAGCCATGTTTTGTTTTGTTTTTTAAGATTTTGTTTATTTTAGTGAGGGGGAGAGGAAGAGTGATCATGCACCAGGGGAGGGGCAGAGGGATAGAGTGAGGGAGAATAGCAGAACTCTGTGTTGAGCCTGGAGCCAGACTTGGGGCTCAACTTCAGGACCCTGAAACTATGACCTGAGCTGAAACCAAGAGTTGGATGCTCAACTGACTGAGCCACCCAGGCCCTCCCCAAATCATCTATTTTTAAAACATGTCTTGTATTGCCTTAAGCACTTTAAAAATAGGTATTGCTCAGTCTTCTATTTCTCTTATTTATTTGAGAGCACGAGCACCACTGGCAGAAAGAGCCGAGGGAGAAGCAGGGAGCCCCGTCGGGCTCCCTGCTCAGTGGGGAGCCTGCTTCTCCCTCTCCTCCCGGCTCATGCTGTCGCTCTCTCTCTCTCTCAAATAAATAAAATCTCAAAAACAAAACAAAAGAGAAGAATACTTTTTAAGAGAAAAACTGAGGAATTTTATGTGCAGCAGATATGCTTTGTTAGAAATAGTGAAAGAAGTTAGAAGCAAAATGATATGTCAGAAACTCAGTTTTATATAAAGAAAAGATCAGTGAAGGAATAAATGAAGATAAACAAAAATGGATAACTTGCTAATTTTAAAAAACTTTGTTTACAACTTGAATATATTCCCTTAGAATGGTATCTTTTAGAAATCTAAAGATATGTGAAGAACACACACATTTACACACAAATTCCAGCACATGATAAATTATTTTCTACATGCTGTTCCCCTGCCTTGAAACAGCCTCGGTTCTTCCTCATCAACCTGAAGATTCTTCAAGACTGAGATTAAGTGGAGGCAGGAGAAAGTAGTGGTTAAAAGCATGTGTCACTTAAGCTCTGCATTGTGTCCTTGGGTAAGCCTTAATTACCTGAATTTTCTTTAAAATAACTTTATAGGATTTAGTGTTGTGAGAAATAAATAGCATATAAAGCAGTATAGTACCTCACAAATGCTCAGTACAGGCACCTGGGTGGCTCAGTCAGTTGAGCATCTGCCTTTGGCTCAGGTTGTGATCCTAGGGTCCTGGGATGGAGTCTTGCTTCCAGCTCCCTGCTTAGCGGGGAGTCTGCTTCTCTCCCTCTACCCCTCTGCCCTGTTCATGGTCTCTCTTATGCTCATTCTCAATCTCTCCCTAATAAATCTTAAAAAGAAAAAAAAATGCTCAGTTCACAAAAGCTGCTATAAATTAGTGTAACTCCTCTTCAACTGTCCTAATGGTCACAGGAAGGTTACTTCCTTGTGTGTCCAAATATTAAGTTTACATTTCTATTAGAGCACTTATCAAAAAGTGTATTAGCCCTTTTAAATGTGAGCTCTTGGGAGTGAAATTGTGTTCTATATGACTTATTGTCAACACCTAGTAAGTGCCAGTTTTTGGCACTTGTAAGTACCAAATTTGAAAGTACTCAATATTTTTGGGATGAATGAATTACAAGCAATAAAACAGCAAGCAGGGATGGGCAGCTCAGGTGGCTCAGTGGTTTAGGGCCACCTTCAGCTCAGGATGTGATCCTAGAGTCCTGGGATTGCGTCCCACCTCAGGCTCCCTGCATGGAGCCTGCTTCTCCCTCTGCCTGTGTCTGCCTCTCTTCCTCTGTATCTCATGAAAAAATAAAACTAAAAAAACCCCCAAACATTAAACAGTGTTCTCAAAATTTAACATGCAAGCTTTTGGAGACTGTGTTTAAAATGCAGCTTCCTGAGCCCCTAGCCTACCAGAGACAGATTTACTAGGATCCTGCATTTTAGCAAGGTAACCTCCACCCCCAGGTGATTTTGGTGCAGTACTCTTTGCACCACATTTTGAAAAACACTATATAAAGGATGACTTAAAGCAAATAATGCTTTGCTTGAAATAAAATTGACAAGGAAATACAAATAATCCTAAGTAAATATATTTCTTATTGTCCTTTATGCTATAGACATTATAAAGAAGGGAAGAACAAGCCAATTACCGGCACAATTATCTTTCTGCAAATGCCACTTTTAGGCAATAGGTTTGAGCAATGAAAACTTGGGCAAGGCAGAGGGGGCCACTGTGACAACCCCCCCCAATACAGACAGGCCATCAGGGGACCCACCCCCAAATATCCACAGGCCTTAATTAACCAATGGGCTATTTACAACCAGGTATAGTTACCAAAAAAGAGAAGATTCCATTCAGCTCCATACTTCCTTACCTTCTTCCTTAAATATAGCTCCCACAGTCTCTGTTTTGTTGTCCTGCCCACCATTCCCTTAAGGTGTATTGAGTAAACTTCGCTTTTGTTCTGCTTCAGGTGAAATCCATTCACCACCTGCACCCCCAGATTCCACTCAATCGGGTTGCCTCACATTTGGGGGCCTGCACTTAATTGGGAGAGACATTATACTTTTCACATGTTAAATCTGTTACCATTAGGTATGTTACCTGTGTTTTGAACTTAAGACTTTCTTTTTTTTTTTTTTAATTTTTATTTATTTATGATAGAGAGAGAGAGAGGCAGAGACACAGGCAGAGGGAGAAGCAGGCTCCATGCACCGGGAGCCTGACGTGGGATTCGATCCCGGGTCTCCAGGATCGCGCCCTGGGCCAAAGGCAGGCGCCAAACCGCTGCGCCACCCAGGGATCCCTGAACTTAAGACTTTCAACTCTTAGATAAGTTTAGGTGTCACTTGCAAGTAGATCTTAATAGGACAGAACATACTCCTTTTCTTCATGATAATGTTATAATTGGGTAAATTATTTTGATTGAGAATGAGAGACAATTCAGACAGCAATATTAGCTGCTTTTCAGGTTAGTTTTGATGTCCCCTTGCCCCCCAGCCTATATATGTTAGGATTCTATTTGTGTATTCCTAGTTTTCTACACAGGATGAAACAGGCTGATCTCCTGATGTAAAGGGATAGTGTTACTGGCCTTGTGTGGAAAATTCTTATTTCCAGTTAAAATAATTGAAGTTGTAAAACCAGAGAACCAATAATTGATATTTATTATACAGAAATGTGAAGGCCATTATGCATATGCATTAAAGGAGAAGGTGTTTTGCAGTGAATACTATACAAACCAAGGACATCCACATTGAGAAACAATATAAAAATAAACACTGACCAAGAGTTGCAAGAAAGAACTCAACTTCTACCCCCTACTCCAATCATACTTTCCACAGGAAAACCTGGTTTCAATTCATGCTGAATTGTTCAAATGGAAAGGAAAACTAAGTCAGGTAGAGACAACACGTGGACTGGTTTTTGTACTTTCAGAGAGTCAGAGTGAAACTCCACTCAGGCTCACATTTCAAATTCATTTCATACTAAAATTTATCTCTAGTCACGTAAGCAATACCTGGAGTGAAACTTAATTGAGTTCATTGAGTTGGGAAATTTTATGGGGCTAGACAGGTTTGGGGGTGGAGATGAAAGTTATAATCATTCATTTAATTACTGAAGATCTGGTATCAGGTCTAGGTTGTCTGTATTAGGCCTTTGACAGCCTGTTTTTCTGTAATGGTCAAGAAGCATGATCCATTAAAAAATGCTAGCATCATAAATGCTCGACCTTAGCACAATTTGGTGCCTGTCTTCTTTATATTCCCAAACACCAGACTTTATATTAGCATACTTTTGACAGCAAATTGTCCTTCTAAATAGGTTTAGTCTTAATCTTCTCTTTGCACTCACTACTGAATTGAAAGAAATTGAAACTTTTTAGAGATTTGGGTAGATAGATGGTTGTGTTGAAAGATTAATGACTAGGAGAGTATCTGTGGCTTAAATATAGACAAAAATATTTCTAGAACCCTTAAATATAGACAGAATCTATAAATTTATGAAGGAAGTCGAAAATAGGGAACAAGAAGATCTGGACTCAGGATGCTATTCAGCAACTGAAATTTCTAACTCCCTCAATTCAATCAGAGAGGAGACATATAATCTGGAGGAATGAGGAGTCATGTGCTAATGGGTAGAAATTCTCATGCTACCTCCCTCTCTTATAAATTGTAATGCTGACTGCATGAAGGATGTGGTTGAGAGATACATATTTCTCATTCAGACTTTTGTCCTAATGAATGAGGGAGTAGGATAATGCTAAGAGAGAGTATAGAATATATTTCTAATTTTAGAGCTGTGAGAGCCAGGTAATCAAATTTGCAATATTCTCATTAGGTTAGAAAAGGAAAAATGAAAAAATCATTAGTGGGACATACAGTTCCAGAGGCCATCTGCTCCAAAAATCAGTTTTGTTTCCACTGCCCCTTATTCAGAGACAGTTATTTCAATAACTGCATTACTTAGTAGAGTCTGAGAGACAAAGACTGTGAAAACATGTATTTAAGATAGAAAACAGGGGCCCCTGGCTGGCTCAGTTGGGAGAGTACATGACTCTCAATTTCAGGGTCAGGAGTTCAAGTCCCACATTGGGTGTGGAGCCTACTTTTTAAAACAAAACAAGATACAAATTTTAAAAAATTTAACAAATGGTTTGCTCTATATCTCACTCACATTTTGTGACTGGAGAACTCCAATCCCAATTAGATATTCCTGCTTATTCAAAAGCACAATGGATGGAAGTAAACCAAGAAATGAGAGAAAATTATTATGGTGTGTGTATGGGTTCAACTAGTTTATTCACCTCTGTAGTGGAAAAATAAGGAGAAATAAAATCTGCTTACAATGGCCAAAATTTATGGAGAAGCCCTAAAGTTGCTTTCCCCAAATCACAAATCTGATTCAAGAGAAGGAAAAAAATGAAAAACATCTCATCACACAAAACTCAGTGTGGTGTCTCTGATAGTCATCAGCCAGCAGAGGAAAAAGGAGAAACCCACCCACTGGTTTTAGGATTTATTGAAGGCTGCCAGCACAGCCCAGATCATCTCTGTGGCACTGTGCTTTGTCCCCTCCACTTCAGGGTCCAGTTCTACTAGGTCCTTGGCTCGATTCATTGCCACATCATACTTGTCATCCGCCAGAGAGGAGAAGACATTCTCTAGTACATCAGAGGAGTGGGCTAGCACCAGGAGTGCTAGTGTTCGCTTGTCCATACGTTGAGGGTCATTTACCCACCGCTCTAGGACACTATCTTGAAGTTTTTTCACTAGTCGCTGTTTCTCTGTTGTATTGGTCACTGGATGAGTAGTCATGTCAAATAGGAGGAAATTCTGCTTCTCAGTGGTTAGAATACCCTTCTCTACTAGATTCTTTGCAATTCGCTCTCTTACATTTCTCAGCTGGTACTGTAATTTGAAGGGGTTCCAGGTCTCACCTTTGGGGAAAAAAAAACAGAAGACTTGAACAACACTATAAGCCAACTAGACCTAATAAGACATCTACAGAATATTCTACCCTCAAGTGCAAATGGGACATTCTCCAGCACAGACCACATTCTAGGCCATAAAAATCAGCCTTAATAAACTTAAAGGGGGGACTTTTGGGTGGCTCAGTGGTTGTGTGTCTGCCTTCAGCTCAGGTCATGATCCCTGGTCCAGGGATTGAGTTCCACATCGGGCTCCCTGAGGGGAGCCTGCTTCTCCCTCTGCCTATGTCTCTGCCTCTCTCTCTGTGTCTCTCATGAATAAATAAAAAAAATCTTAAAAAAAAAAACTTAAAGGGACTGGAAACACACAAAATCTGCTATCCAACCACAATAGAATTAAATTAGAAATTAACAGAAGGAAATTTGGGAAATCCAAAATATGTGGAAATTAAATAAAGAACCAATGAATCAAAGAAGAAATCACAGGGAAATTTTAAAAATATTTTGAGTCGAATGAAAATGAAAACACAACAGACCAAGACTTATGTGCTACAACTTAAAGCAGTGTCAAGAGAAAAATTTATGATCCCAAACGTTGTATTAGAAAAGATGTCAAATCAATAACCTACCTTTCTATCTTAAGAAAGTAGAAAAAGAAGAGCACGTTAAACATGAAGGAAGCAAAAGAAAATAATAAAGATTAGAGAGGAGATAAATAGAAACAATGAAAACAATAGAGGAAATCAATAAAATCAAAGTTGGTTCATTGAAAAGATCAACAAATTGACAAACTTAAACTGACCAAGAAAGAAAGAAGACTTAATTTACTAAAATTGGGAATGAAAGAGGAAACATCACCACTGACCTTAGAGAAATAAAAAGGGCAGTATGACGACACTATAAATAACAGTATGCCAACAAATTAGATAACCTAGAAGAAATGGACAAATTCCTTAAAACACACAAATTACCTAAACTGACTCAAGAAGAAAGAGAAAATCTGAATAAATCTATAACAGCAAATAGATTGAATAAGTAATTTAAAACTCCTCACAAAAAAAAGCATGGTTTAGAGGGGTTACTAGTAATAGTACCAAATGTTTAAAGAATGCTACTAATCCTTCACAAACTCTTTTAAAAAAACAGAAGAGGAGGGAGCACTTCCTTAGTTCATACAGTTAAGTATCACTCTGATACCAAAACCAGACAGACATCAGAAGACTATAGACCAACATCCCTTATAAGTACAAATATAAGTACAAAAATATTCAACAAAATACTACCCCAAAAATCCAGCAACATATAATAAAGAGTATGTAACAAAATTAAGTGGGACTATACCAGAAATGCAAGGTTGTTTTAATATTCAAAAATCTAGGGACACCTGGATGGTTCAGTGGTTGAGCGTCTGCCTTTGGCTCAGGGTGTGATCCCACGTTTCTAGGATGGAATCCCACAGGGAGCCTGCTTCTCCCTCTGCCTCTCTCTGTGTGTCTCTCATGAATAAAAACTCTTTTAAAAAAATCCCAAAATCTAATTATGTAACACATCATATCAATAGAATAAAAAGCAAAAACCAAATGATCATCTCAATCAACACAGAAAAAGTATCTGACAAAATCCAACATATTTACATGATAAAAACACTCAACAAACTAGGGATAGGTAGAAACTTCCTCAATCTGATAGAAGGTATTTACAAAAACCCCACAGGTAGCTTCATATTTAATGGTGAAAGAGTCAGCGATGTCCTACTAGGATCAGGAACAAGACAAAAATGCCATTTTCATCACTTCTATTTAGCACTGTACTGGAAGTTCTAGCCAGGGCAATTAGGCAAGGAAAAGAAATGAAAGCATTCAGATCACACAGGAAGAAGTTAATCTATTTTTATTTCCAGATGACATGATCTCGTATACAGAAAAATCTAAGGAATCCACTTAAACTATTGCAACAAATAAATTCAGCAAGGTTGCATGATATAAGATTAATATACAAAAATCATAGGAGTTTCTATACATTGGCAATAGTCTGAAAAATTTTTTAAAATGACATAATATCAAAGAGAGCAAAATACTTAGGAATATATTTAACAAAAGTAGCATAAGACTTGTACACTGAAAGTTACAAAATATTGTTGAAAGAAATAAAGAATATCTATTTTTTAAAAAGATTTTATTTATTTATTAATGAGAGACACAGAGAGAGAAAGAGAGAGAGAGAGAGAGAGGCAGAGACACAGGCAGAGGGAGGAAGCAAGCTCCACGCAGGGAGCACAATGTGGGACTTGATCCTGGGACTTCAGGATCATGTCCCACAGCCAAAGGCAGGCGCTAAACCACTGATCCACCCAGGGATCCCCAAGAATATCTAAATAAATGGAAAGATATTCCTTTTAAAAAATTTATTTATTCATGGGAGACACAGAGAGAGAGAAGCAGGCTCCCAGCAGGGAGCCCAATATGGGACTTGATCATGGACCCCAGGATCACACACTGAGCCAAAGGCAGAGGCTCAACTGCTGAGCCACCCACACATCCCAAATGGAAAGATATTCCATGTTCATGGATTGGAAAACTTCATATTATTAAGATAGCAATATTCCCCAAATTGATCTACAGATTCAGTACAATTCCTATTAAAATCCTACCTTGCTTTATTACAGAAATTGACAAGCTAATTCTGTAATTCATTGGGAAATGCAAACGACCAAGCATGGTCAAAAAAATCTTGAAAAAGAGTAAAGTTGGAGTACTCACATTTCATGATTTCAAAACTACTATGAAACAACAATAATAAAAAAAAAAACAAAAAACAAAACAAGCAAACAAAGCCTACAATAATCAAGAGAGTGTGGTATTGCATAAGGACAAACATATAGATCAAAAAAAGAGTCCAGAAATAAATTCATACATATATGGTCAAGTGATTTTTGACAATGGTACCAAGATAAATCATGGAGGACAGAACAGTGCTAGGACAACTGTATTTATATATTCATGCAAAAGACTGACGTTGGAGCTCTACCCATATGATCTACAATTAACTCAAAACGGACAATAGACCTAAGTGAAATAGATAAGCTATAAATCTCTTAGAAGAAAATGCAGGAATAAATCTTCATGATGTTGGGTTAAGCAATCATTCCTTAGATATTACACAAGCAATAAAAGAAAAAGATTAATTGAAAAGTATTAAAATGGAAAACTTTATGCTTTTTTTTTTTTTTAAAGATTTTATTTGAGTGGGCAAGAGTGAGAGAGAGAGAGCAAGCATGAGCAGGGGGAGGAGCAGAGGGAGAGAAAGAAGCAGGCTCTCCTCTGAGGAGGAAGCCTGATGCTGGGCTTGATCTGGGAACTCTGGGATCATGACCTGAGCCTAAGGCAGACATGTAACCAACTGAGCCACTCAGTTGGTACCCCCAAACTGTATGCTTTAAAGAACACCATCAAGAAGTGAAAAGACAGGGCAGCTTGGGTGGCTTAGCGGTTTAGCGCTGCCTTCAGTTCAGGGCCTGATCCTGGAGACCTGGGATCAAGTCCCATGTGGGGCTCCTTGCATGGAGTCTGCTTCTCCCTCTGCCTGTGTCTCTGCCTCTCTCTCTGTGTCTCTCATGAATAAATAAATAAAATCTTTAAAAAAAAAAAAAAGAAGTGAAAAGACAGAATGGAAGGAAAATTTTGCAAATTCTGTATATGATAAAAGAGATTTATATCTAGAATATATTTGAAAAGTACAACTCATAGTAAAAACGGTAAACCCAATTAAAAAATAGGTTAAGTATATGAATAGACATTTTTCCAAAGAAGATATACAAAGAGCCATAAAGATGACCATAAAGATGGTCAACATCATTATATATTAGAAAAATCCAAATAAAAATCACGATATACCACTACATACTCATTAGGATAGATAAAAGAGAATAACAAGTATTGATAAGAATGTGGAAGAATGAAACTCATACACTGGTGTGGAAATATAAAATGGTGTAGCCAACTTTGAAAAACTGGCCCCATCCCTGTCCTTAAGATGTTTAAAATCTAGTCTGGATTAATAGTGGGGAGACAAAAATAATATATATATTTTAATATTTTATTTATTTATCCATGAGAGACACAGAGAGAGAGAGAGAGAGAGAGAGAAAGAGAGAGAGAGAGGCAGAGGCAGAGGGAGAAGCAGGCTCCATGCAGGGAGCCAGACGTGGGACCTGATCCCAGGACTCCAGGATCACGCCCTGGGCTGAAGGCAGACACCCAACCGCTGAGCCACCCAGGCATCCCCAAAAATAATATTTGAAGCAGGCCCTAAAGACAAACTCGAACTGGACATAGATGATAAGGTTCTTTAAAATGTTAATCATTGAGATATGACATCAGGGATGATGATAGAGTGGGAAGTGCCAGACATTCATCTCTTCACCTAGACAACAATTATACTAGAACCTAGAATCTTTTTTTTTTTTTTTTTTAATTAGGCCATGCACCCAGGGTGGTGCCCAACACAGGGCTTGCACTCATGACCCTGAAATCAGGACCTGAGCTGAGATCAAGAGTTGCACACCTAACTGAGTGACCCACTCAGAGCCTGTAGAATATATCTTTTTAATAACTATTTGGAACTCTGGAATCTATTTGAATGCTTGTAGGTTCCAGGCCAAGGCTTGACTGGCAAAGTGTGGTTCATACTAGCCTATTTTAGCCTTCAGCACAATAGTGGATATTTAGCCCCTAAAATCCCCTTTAAAAAAAAATATTATTTATTTATTTATTAATGAGAGACACACACAGAGAGAGGCAGAGACACAGGCAGAGGGAGAAGCAGGCTCCATGCAGGGAGCCCAATGCAGGACTAGATCCCGGGTCTCTGGGACCACACCCTGGACTGAAGGCTAGCCCCTAAAATCCTAAACACAAAGACATATAATGCAAGAAATGAGGGACAAAATACTATAGATCATACAGCAAAGAAACAACAAAATGGCAGAAGTGTCTCCTTATGAGTAATTATTTTAATCTATTTAAAAAATATTC